TCCAATTCAAAATATTCTATACTTTCATGCACTTTTTAATAATAGAAAAAGTAATTCGTAATGCAGTTATCTGGTGTGTCAATCTGAAGTGCGGCTGAAATTTATAATTACTTATAGTAGTTGGGCGTTGAAAAAATATGAAGACGGAAGCTTGTTACATTATACCTTAGTTACATTATAATTAAAAAAAATACAACAAGCTATATTTTACCTATTCTACTGGTTGGTATATATATATACAAATACATATAGGTACTATACACCGGTCCATAACAGGCCAGTACAGATAGACTATGATTTACAGAAAATAAATGCTAATAATATGGAAATTGTCGGGGCCGATAAAATAATAAAAAGAAATATCGAAGCGACAATTTATTTTCTTGCTAAATCGCTACCTCCGCCTCCCTCTCTCCCATAATTTTCGCCGCACTGCTCAAAGAAGATTTTCAATGATCAAAAAGTCAATAACATTGTCACACCCAATTTCTTTCGGAAGACAACATTTGCTTAATTAATTTTTATGGTCCCGTAATCAAAGGGTGAAAATGGGACAGTAAAACTAAGACTTCGCTGTTCGCCCGTGTGTGACTGTATCTCATCTCATGACAGTTAGACAGTTTTCAAATGTCACAGATGGTGTATTTCTGTTGCCGCTATAACAACACACTAAAGTCAAAATTTTAGGTAGGTATTAAAAAGTACCCATAGAACAAATATGACGTTTTTCGTTTTACGGGAGGTCCGGAACCTTTTGTCATAAAATATAGTACCTTCGTGCGCGAATTCGACTCGTATTTGGTTGCTTTCTTTTTATGTTGCGTCTTTTAGAATGAAAATTGAATTAGAACAGAAATGTAGAGAACGCTTTCGAAGTCGACAATAGACAAATATAGTAAATGCGATTGTCGTACCTAGCATTTATTTAGAAGTGGGGCAAAATTAAAGAAATTTGACAAATTATATGAATTTCATTTGTTTTTTAATGAATTCTGGCCAGTGCTAGTTATTTTTTTTATTGAGTTATCTGTATCTGTTCTAATATTTCAAGAGGAAAGATTTGATTATTTGTTTGCATTGTAAACTCCCGAACTAATATACCGATTTTAAAATTACTTTCACCTACGTAAAGCTACATAACATGCGGTTGAAATAGGCTGTAATTGCGCGGGCGAAGTCGCGGGAAAACAGCTAGTTATAATCTGGCGAGTCGTATTCTAAACTGACGATGTCTATAATTTTACGGTAACATATGTGTATATGTTACCGTAAGGTATGTACCTACATTGGTTTTTCCGGTTTTAAATTAAGAACTGGCATGTCTCTTGGCTCACATCCAATCTTTATTCTTAGATCAAAATTAATTCGTACTAATATTTTAAATGAGAAAGTGACTGTCTGCGTATTACGTATTCATGGTCAAACATAACATTATTGTGCCTGATAGTCCGATTGTGTAGTTTGATCAATATATACGGTAACATATATATATATATATAAGTTATAGCATGTATTCATATATGTATCGCAAAAAACTCGAAAAGTACTGAACGAATTTACATACATTTTTCAATAACAGGAAGAGTGATCCCTGAGGAAGGTTTTAGTGTATAATAAAATCATGTTTTGTTTATGTTAAGAAAAATAAGCAGGTCAGAAGCTTTTCTCGAAAACCCAGATATCCGGGCAGTATCTGCACCAGCCTGTAGGTTAGAGACCCATGACTCCTCTCTAGCCACTGTCGGAGTACAGGCCGGATTGCATTGATGGTTCTGGGGCTTCGAGCCAATGCAACCTGCACTTCATCAGAGACTCCCATGCTGTCCTCCTTATAACATTTCCACGGGGATGGCTGGTTCCCCTTGCGCGATTGCATCACTGAGGACTACTCCTTTGGTAGCGCCAAGATCCCAAGGGCCATGCATGCCATCAAACAGCAGGCAGCCACAATATAGCGGTAGCTTTTAATTACCCTACTAGTAATTACCGTCTGTGGGCGATAGTGGAGGAACCCTGCCTTTAAAAAGAAGTTATAGCATAGTTTGATACGGATATGTTTTTAAAATGGCAGCTTGAAACATTTTATTTTTCATTAGCGGTAACATTCGCAGAATACAGCCAGTCTCCGCTTACTAACTGTTTATAAGACTTGTGTGCAAATATTCTATCGTTTGGAAAGTTACGGTTGTTGGCGATCTGACGAAACTAGTTGAAAGCGTCTTCGTAGACCCAGTTAGGGTTGACGTTGCTTTTAAATTTACGGTTTACTTTTAAATTAATTTTCAGTGAGAGTTCTTCTTCCTATTTTTACTAGAAATAATATTCTGCGTTGTCTTTATTTGTATTATACTAGTAACATGGTAAAACCACAAAAATAAATTCTTCGAATTCAATTTAATATAATTGAAATTTGGCATCCTATATTGTTCTTTGAGAAATTCTACTAAAATTCTGCCTTTGGAATATTACAAAAAATTTATGTTGTCCAGCCATTTCTCTGTATTGGCAACCCTAAGTACTGTGAGCTGAGCACCTTTCGAGTGAGTCAGAGAAAGCCTGCAGCTGCCGGTAAACAAGTGATTAAATGAAATGCATATTATTTTAATATGACTAACAGGTTTAATTAACTGATAGTTCAACTTAGAAATTCGCTACGCTTACAACTGATATGTTTAACACTTAACAGCGTGTACAAAACAGCGTGAAGGGTTTTTTTTTATAACCATTAAAGGATTATTACTTACTAGCTTTCGTCAGCGGCTTCGCCCGCATGGACCCTAGGGAAATGCTAAGTGGGGTCAAAAGACCCTATCTGTATACCAAATTTCATTAAAATCCGTTCAGTAGTTTCGGCGTGATTGACCGACAAACATCCAAACAAAGAAACTTTCACATTTATAATATTAATAGGATTACATAGTTCCGTATGTAGTAAGTCGATTTAGAATTTCATGTAAAAACTAAGTGTTTAACGCTACCGTTGCGATTTTAGATCAAGATTTTTTAAACTATTACGCGGGCGTCTTCGTTTAAGGAGTCTGGTGATCGAAGTGATAGATCGATTGAAAATAACAAAAAGTAGTTTATTGCAATACATTGTGATCCGCGTTTTAGTAGGCAAATGCATATCTTGGGTGGACGGTGTTATAAATTAAAAATCCCGACTTGCATTTAAAAGCGGTACAATCTCAGCCTAACGAACGATATTACGTAGGCGACAGGCAAGCAACCTTGGGCTACTGAGTACACAAACACATTATACTCACTGCTTTATCGATAATACAATTATACAGAAACTCAATACAAATATTTTTCAAACGTGACTAAAACTGCACGCTCCGTATAAAATAAGAACGTCGGTTATACCTATACAAAACTGATCACTACTGAGGTATTTTTAATAATGAACAATCTCACCCGGATGTGACGTCATGAATGATTAATGCATGCTGCTGATGAATGGCAGCCAAACTTTTTAAGATTGTTTTTTAATGTTGTAACTCAATGCGTTAATTAAGACAACAGTTATTTACTTATAAATATACGAATGCTTATAATATACGTGAATATGTGAAAACAACATTTTTTTTAACTTATACGTATACCTCATGCTATAAGTTATTTTTTAGTGAAAACATGTACAAATACCACACTAGACAATTTTAGATGTCAACAGAGGGGCACGGATGCGATTAAAAAGTCTGTTGATTATATGATATTGTCCTTGTGGGGTAGAGTGGACAGAAAGAACAGTAATGCTATTCTGTAATAAAATCAGCCTCGAACTCAACGACGAGCACAATGCTGTCACAGCAGTGACGGCCGATCAAATAAAACCTTCTTCAAAAGGTGATGAAAGTTTTATTTCATTGAAACTCTATATTGTCAAGCGCTGTGCTCGACGTCGAGTTGGAAGTTGATAACATTAACATATATAACATTAATAACATTGCTCCAAAGGTGGTAAGGATGCAATACAAAGACTATCAGCTAGTTTCATAAAAGTCCATTAAAAATTTCATAAGTTAAAAGCGACATTACCGATACAAATTTGACATTCATTAGAGCTTAAAGGCGTCATTAAACCATAATGGACATTTGTTCTACTGAACTTATCTCTATTATCTTAACGTCATATCCCTTATAGAGAGCATTGATTGCCACAAAGCACGGTCCTGGTGTCTTTTTATTCCTTGACATTACATTTTGAAAAGAGTCGAGTAAGGTAAAAGAGTAGGCGCTAATTTTATGTTTATTTAAATCACCACCCCGACGGCATGCAATCGATTTGATCGTGTATTTTAGGCTTCTCCGACGTCTACGATAGTCTACACCCTTTTCTTTTTTTGCTTTGTATGTCATATTTTATGACAATTTCTCATTCACACCGAACGATTTCCGGATCGTGTGCGCGGTTCACAGGAGCGGTCGGTGTAGGTAGACCTGTAGACGTTGCTTCGTGCGATCGAAGGTTCAAAGTTGGATGATATATTTTGTTTTGCGCAAAAAACTACTCGCAACTTACTTATATGATACTCTTATGTTCGTAAAGTATACTCTACTTTTGCATAATACATTAGTGAAATTAATAACTGATATTGGGTTGTAATTTCTAACGCTTTGCAGTGTGTAGGTAAAGCTGGTTGTAGTTCTATTAGTGTTAGACAATCATAAGGGAGGTTAAATCTATAATATACATATATATTGGAAGTCATAACATGATAAAGGTTGTTGTGGGAACTTTGAGGCAATTCAGGCTGCACTTTAATACCCTATCTATCTTATTTCCAAGTCCTTACCTTGCTATAAAGCATTGCAACAAAGATTACCTTGGTGGGAACATGGTTTGTGTTCAAAATGTGGTTTACAATTGCTGTCTATACAACAAGCAGTCACCATTGTCGGAAAGCTTCTTTACAACTTTAGCGCTGGGATATATTTTATATGTGGTTAATTCAGGAATGGCACAAGTATGACATTAGTTTGTTGTTTGTCTTCAGGCCCGGGCAGACGGATCACGGGCACGGCGGCGGCGCCCTGGCGTACGGCGGCAAACCGGCCGGTGCGGTGGTGGCGCCGCCGCAGCCGCGCGCGCCCCCTGCCGGCTACGCGCAGCCATACTCGCCTGCGCTACGCCTGCACCAGCCCGGATATGGCTCCGCCGCACTCACATTCAGGTGAGCACTCACTTTATGTTCATAATATAAGATAAGACCTACTCTCCTCTCCAATTCGAAAACGAAATTTCGTCTATTTTCGGTACGCAAATACGAATCCAAAGAAACACATTTTTCTATAATTTGTGATGCATTGGAAATAGAACCTAACACTGCCTCTTCACAGATTTAAAAAAAATATATAAGAAAATGTTTCCCAATTAAGTGGTCAAATAAAATACTAGTCTTCCAGGTAGAAACTAATTTGAGGAATTGTTTATATGGAATAGAATGTGTTCCGATCTCGGGCACCTGGATCCTGGAACTCGTGATTTTTTAAAGTATATATCTATAATATAAATATCTTTAAAAAATGTCACTTTTGTGGGGAAAGCTTATCCCTTTGATTTCTTAAACTATATTAGTATATAGAATATATATAGGTATCTAGAAATGTGAGTATATATCATATTTCTTTAGTACACAGAAATTAATACGATTATAAATTATCTCTACTGACATTGCAAGCTGGTAGTAGCAGAATGTTATGTAAACCGATATACGAGGACACACCTGAGTTATTAGTCAGATAGTCACGGACTATAATGAAATACATGATATTAGTTCAGACTGTTTGTGATTAATTTTAGCGTAAAACATAGTAGTGGCATCAGCAATCAGTGCTGTGAATATATTTTCTTGCGTTTTGGCGAAAACTTATTAAACATTGAGATTAACTATACACCAAATTTAACAAACAGTTGCAATATTATGTATCTCCTGTATCATCTCAATTAGATTCTGGTGTGAACATTAGCGTGTCCAATGTAACTGCAGCTTTATTTACATCCCGCGTGGTTACAATGGCGGAACCCGCATTGCGTACAGATAAAACAACCATTGTTCCTCACTGTACACAAGATAGATGTAGGGTTGACGACTCTTTGTCTTTGCAGTTTTTGTTACATTGACAAATTGTTTTCACTACGTGAAGATCTCGTTAGAATAAGAATAAAATTTAAATTAAATTAAAGAATTAACTAATAAATTAAAGCTAAGTAAATAGATGTTGCCATTATTAATAGAAACATTCTTGTCTGATTTTGGTGAATATGTATATATTTTTTACGGAATTCATTCATTAATAAGCAATTGAAATTTATCTTATCATTGTTTATACGTATATTTTACTCCAATTAATAAATTATATTAATAAATTGTTATGTCCGTAATTCAATCAAAAATATTTATAGCGCTAAAAACAGAAACAAAAATAACCGCATTTGCCTGTTCTAATGTTTCCTTCCTTATAATTCTTACTGGTTCGGGTGGACTAATTTTATTACTTTAACTTATGCCAGCTTTATTACTGTATGATTATAAATACCTATTATTTGCCTTTATGTAATTTAAACTATTATATGGTCATTTACATTGGAATGATAGTTGCCATGTACTTTATATTTATCGAGTCACCCATATTTCGACGGTGTTGCAAGCGTCATGTTATAGGCAGATATATATATCTCTTACGTACGATACCCGTATCACTTTTTTCTATCTATAGCTTGTAACCTTCAACCTCCTTGTATTTTAACGTTGGTACCGTTCTCGTGTCCATTACCCGTTCTCCTGGTAGTATCGAATGGCCGCCCCATTCGTGTGTACATTCGGTCTATTTTTCCTAATAATCCTGTCTCACTATATTCCTTGATTAATAACAAAAACATTCAGTGTATAATGAACGAAATAAAAAGCAACTCAACACTACTATATGACAAGACAACCATTATCCGAATAAAATAAGTCAACACGTCTCAATTAACGTTTTCGCTTATGTCATTGTCAATTTGCTTTAGGCGATCAATGTTTTAAACCAAGTTGTACTTGGATTAAGTTCAGCAGCAGTCTCAAAATACTCAGTCAAACTGTATAGTCACATTAGTGTGTATAGATAAAGCGTCCATATGCTTAGAGCCTACTTAAGTTTTTACATATTTAATTTACTGTTAAAATAATTATCTTTTTTTAGCTTAGATTTATTTAGGAATTGGACATATAATACGTCTATAGCACCATTGTATTGTTTACGTGTTAACGCCATTATTGTGTTTACTTCAACGATTTTTAATAGTCAAGCAAGAGTGTGCATATTTTATATATACCCAATATAGGTACACAAAAAAAATCTGATCTTTCAAAAAAATCTTACCGATTCTGAGTACTATTACCATATAGGTATTTACGAGTACTTATTACGAAAGCCACACGAACCCGGAAAATAGCCGAACTAACCCCCAATTAAGTGGTGCGTATTATTATTTTACAATTTATTTCAGTAACTCAACTAAACCTTTACGGAAACCCGTAATTGGCTTTTTACAACTATGCCGGTTTGTATAGATGTTGGTAAATCAATAAAAAATAATTACTGGAACACACCATACCTCACAAACATCATACGTGAATAACGGAATTTCCCACGTTACCCCTGCAAATGCATAGGTATTGCAAATTTCCTCAGAACGATTTCTAAAAACGCTATTTTATGATTTCCCGATATTTTTTAGCGTTGCAAGCGCCATGATCACGGCTTGTTCGAGAATGATTTAGTTACAAAAAATTATTATCTCGAGCTATTTCGTACTTCGGAAGACACGTTAACCTGGTGGTTCCGGCTGTATTTGCAGTCTTAATAGACGATCATGGCTCATCCTCTTTAACCATCCCTATGGAAGACCTGAGTCCCGGCAGTGGGGAAGTATTTTACAATTATTTGTATTTTTTTAAATTATGTTAATATATGCCAACCCTAACAATTTAAACCTAACAATGCTTCTTGTTTGAGAAATTTCTTATTTTTTCACCGTATGAAGTCAGGATTTCATTACGACCGTGCGAACAGAGTCAATGAGTGGCGTCATGCAACTGATTTTTCCCATTTTTCTGTATATGAGAAATGTATTTTTGTTGTTTGATGAATGCGTTCATTCCACCATATATTTATTTAATTCAGTTAAGTTATATCACAGATATTATAATACCTTTATTTAATTATTATGTAATGCTTAATGAAATACATTATGCATAGTGATAGTTTATCGTTAATTAATTTAATAAGTTCTTTGTTATACCTGACATACAGGTTAACCTAGTTCAGGCACATTAAAATATTTTCTTTATAAGTATGTTTCGCATTTTTGTGAAACAAGGCTAATAGGATTTCAATAAATAATAACAATTATTATTCTTACCTTGATGCTGGTTATTTTTTTGTGTAAAAAGTTACAATTTTGGCGTTCTTGATCCCGAAATAAAATATATATTAGTAATTTTGATTTAATATAAAACTACTTTAAACAGTTTCAGTTGTAAAGGGTCCGAAACGTAATGAAAGCAAATATAAAGACACTTATTTTTGAATAGTGTAGGATAACTATTGGCATATTTCGTCGCGGCTTGACTTTTATAAATTATGCTTAACTTTTTAATCAACCCGAAAATTGTAGAGAAAGATTTTCATAACATGCGCCATGCCACTTTTGAGTTACTGGTCTTGACAAATTAAGTAAAAAAAAAATAGAATAATTACCTCTTATACCACATGTTCAAAAATATCCGTTATAGTTAAACGATGTTGAAGTATATCATATAAACTGTCCTCTGCGAATTCAAAACCTCTGCATTAAGTTTAAGTTAGTCCTCTTTTTATAATCAGCCGGTATTTGTTTGTATGAGTAGTGCAGAATTTCTAACCCATTTAAATACAGATTTAATATATTTCTCGGAGGTTAATTGTGACCGGTCCGCGAAATCTTGTCTAGAGTTATTTTTTTATGGTACCACGGTTAACGAGTTGAGTATTAAATTTTATGGCGACTTAAATATCTCTAGATTTGCGGAGGTCGGCTAAACTTCAGTCACAGCTCTGTATCTTTTGGGATAAGTTATCTGTTGGTTTAATCGCGGCTATAATTTAATATGAATTTATGTTTCATTCGTTGGACATAGAATTGTTGAATAAATAGCAATAAAAGATCTTTATCTTTATAATAAGCATTTAGGTTTGCTCAATTTTATTTTATATTAGTTGTTTCCCAGCGATGTCGCGTCTGATGCGTATTGCTTATGGTGTAGTTTCCTCAAACATTCAAATTTTTCCTCTTTACATTAGATAATGCATTATTTGTGTATAAATCTCATTATTTTCCAAAAATAAGTTCATTACATTATAAGACGCTATTCTTATTTTTTTTTAATGTGAAATCAATTATGGTACGTACGAGTGCATATTTAACTATAACTACCAATATTTACCATTAAATCCCTATTGCGATGTCTATGGAATTGCTTTTTATATTTCATCTGTTAGATTTACTAAACGTCTCACATAAAAATCTGGACTCCCGGCATATGCTTGTCAATGCTTTAGGGCTCCGAACAGCTTGATAAGGCCCTATTAGAAGATGTATATGTTTATTTATAAATTTAGGTTAACATTTTTGGCAGATGAGATTTAAAAGTTTTTTTCTAACCAAAATAAATTCCTTAATAATATCCTTCTACAGTACAGTATAATTCGAGTATATCCTTCTACAGTCACGACATCTCTCCTTCCAATTTCAATGAGTGGGTATGAAAAGCTTAAAATCGGTCTAACTAAATCGTCAGTCGCGTGCCAGCCAGATGAGTATGCCTGTAAATTCTACTGAAATTTACATAAAATTTTGGACCGCCTCCAACCGGACCATTGGTTACGAAAGTCTTGACATGCAACGCGTGTTTCGAACGTGTATTTCGGTGCATTCATGCGCCCGAGGGAAGAAAAAAATATGTTAAATTCGAGAGTTACGTAAACGGTGTAACCGGCCAAAATTTGATCCGCCAATCAAAATAAATTGTTAGTGACGCATTTGACATTGTGATTTATGGTAATAGTTTTAAAAATTCAAATCATTCATTCAAGTCTCGTGAACTGTTAATTAGAAACGTTGTGTATAATTTTTGAAGTTATTGTTAATACCTCTTCTTTTGATGAATCATTTAGAATTTTAATTCCCTGCATGTCAGCTGGCGTCCTTTCTAAGAGGCCAGTGTCCGGGAAAAAGAGGACATGGGACAAGTCTACGTGCTAACCTAGCCGTATTACTTTGTATTGAAATGCAAAACGTGTTGATTCTCTTGACACGTCAGCGTGACAGCAATTGCTAATTCGCCACCTGTTTTACCTAATGGGTGTATTACAACATCTGCTTATTTAAAATTAACAAACTTTAAAAGTGAATCATAACAATTTTATGATGTAATCACTCTCTAATTCATGTAAATTATATCTGAATTGCAACTAATATTATTTTTATGCTCTGTAATGTAATAGAAATTGTCAGCGCTCGAACTTTGCTTGATAAGACGACAACTGCTAATACGAGTAAATAGTTTATTGTTACACAACAGACGGTAATAGACAATTTCCATTTAAACGGACCGTGACACTGTAGAGAAAAATGGAGCACGTTTGAATTTAGGCGCGCCACGTTGTCCGCCACGTGCGTTGAATGCGCCACACGATCGGGCGCGGAATAATAATAAAAAATAAACATTGTGAACGCGACTGTCTACAGTTAGCTTCCCTCCCTCCGCGCGCGCAACCTTGGCCTTTCGCGTTCCCCGCCCCGCGGCGCCGGACATCTGTCAATTTGCCTCTTCGTGTGTTGGTTGCGTTGTCGTCGTGTTTTCTACAAAGTCTTAAATTACTATTCGAAATAACTTATGTGTCTGCTTTAGAAATGTATCGTGGCTTCTTGAACGGCAGTGTGTATTGGTATTATTAATTTGTTTTTATCAATTGTAGTCAAACTACTGTTCAATTTTTTCCTTGACATTTCCAGTTTAATTTTCTATTTACTCATTATGAGAATAATTATTTCTTAATTGAACATTTGTAAAATTACAAACTTATGTTCTACGTTAGTTCTAAATAATGTAATAAATTAGCGGTAATGTCATTTCATTTGTTAATTTCAAGTCAGTTGTTTGTTTACAATATTTTGACACTTGACATTTTCTCCACGTGTTTTTATAACGCGCCATCTGTTAATATTTCGTGTACTTTATTTAATGAAATATCATTGACTACACATATTTTTTTGCGCAATCCTGAGAAGTTTCACAATATTTTAATAGGTATATTTTCTCTTTTCATTATATCTCTTTTTCTTTTAAGTTGTATTTTTGTCTTACTTAAGTCTCAATTTCAAATAAATCTCATCTTATACCTAATCAATGAGTAATAAAAATATTTGTTTATGAGAAAGATAGAAAATAGTACTCTAAATCTTTCACTTAGTATGCAAGGTGCTTAAAATACCTATGCGACGTAAGTCAAAATGACGTAGGTCGACAAATTTTTATAACCCAAAATTAGGTTCCGAAAGGACACAAAATGAAAAAAAAAAGAAAAACACCATTTATAACGAAATGTTTTTGGTATAGGTATATTCTTAAATTATCATTTTGATATGCAAAATACACAGCAAATAAAAATATTTTATTTAGTCTGCCTTAATAAACTTTCAGCCTAGATGGCTTTCGATCTTACTTCTTGTTATCGGGTTATATGAGGGACTTTGTAACGCCAATAGGCCGCATTAGATTCGAAAATTTTAATGCTATTGTCTATTTACAAATGCTTCAGATTTTTTTAAGTAGGTTATTTTTCAGTATTACCGATAGAAGATGCTTTTTCTTTTGATTTAATAATTTCCTCTTGTACCTGACCCTTTAATTCAATGAAATCCTCATTAATCAGTTCTTCTATGCCGGGAATTGAAACAATTGACATGTTTGAGGAAACATTGTTTGACCAAACTCGTGGACTACCTGTTTATTATTTCGTCTTCTCCATTTTTATATCAAAAATTGAACTACAGTAACCTTTGATTACTTTGTAATTAGCTGATAGACGTGGCTTATGATTGATAATGTAACCATTGCAGAATTGTAATATTATATGGATGTTCCAATCAATAAATTAATATTAACACTGTCAAGCTCAAATGTTAGGTAATCGATACTTGTATTCTAGATATTAAATATTGCTACATGAAGAGATACCAGGGGCACAACAATTACAGATACGAATATTTGTATTCGCCGTATATCATAACAAATGTTAATAATGATTTATTGAAAAACTGAAAGCAAAACAAAATACGGTTTAGTTTTGAACATTTGGGCTCTATATTTAAAGCCTCACTTTCATTATGAAGGAAGTTGTATGAAACTACTTTAATTGCTATTTACTGATAAATATGTTTAATGAAAGTTGCTTTAATAAATTTGCGGAAACGTAACAAATGTTTGAAAAATTCGTTAGTTATCTTGGGTCTCGGCCCAGTGTTTAGAGCATACGCCCGGATTGCAAAAGGTCGTGGGTTGGAGTGGAGTACCTCGGGGTACCTGGGACTGGTGAATTTTTTAAGCATTTTTCGTTAAAAATACTTGCATTGCATTAATTTCGCTAGCAGTACACTTGCACGTATATACGTTCACAATGAATGCATTACTTTCCGTGAAATACGCATATTTTTGATTAAACTAGTTTCACGGAACTAATTTCACCATCATTTACATGTCGAAACTAGTGTTGCGACGCCATCTGCGCAAAGTGAAGTTTCGATGTTGACGGAGCCAATGTCACAGAGATACTGTCGATTGCAGGCCATTACGAAAGTAGTTTCACGTGGGTCGAAATTAGTTTCGTAAGACTTGTTTTTAGTTTCATGCAACTACTTTCGAAAGATTCTGTGTATGCGCCTTGCACCGATATGTGGAGGGCTATCTCGATCTCTTATTGATTATAATTGTGCCCCATCACTAGGGATTATAGACCGCTAATTATGTGCCTAATATCGTGATTAATTTGGCATGTCCTTCGTTTCCAGGGATGGCAGTGGATACGTGCGCGGGGGAGGGGCGGGCGAGTACAGGGGCGGGCGGGTATCACTGCTGGGCGGCGCGTACCTGCCTGCGCCAGCGCCGCAGCCGCAGCATCAGCCCGCCGCGGAGCCACCGCCCTTCAAGAAGATCAGATTTGGCGTCGAACGGCCACCGCCCACGCCCCTGCCTATGCATCAGCCCCTCAGGGTCGATACAAGGGTAAGTTTGTATCTGTTACTTTATAATATAGATGCAAAAATGTAATAAAACGAAGCAATTACATTTAGTAACATCCAGAGTAGAATTGAAGATTACATTCAGTTAAGTTTTAATCATTTATCATTGCATTATACATGACATATAAGGATGTCGCGGATGCGGTACCGTTATTGATGCGAAACACGATACGTATCGATTAAAGAAAAATATTTTATTTTTGCACTGCATCTTTCTTGATGTAGTCGTTATTTAATGTAAGCAGCATTACGTTTGTCAATGCCCTGAAAAGATAATGAATTGATGAATGGAAGATGCCTCTAAAATTCAACTTAATTTTCTCGTAATCATATTATTTTAAATGTATATTAATTTAAGGCTGTCAAATTTAATAACTAATCTTTATTAACATATCAAATATTTTTAAACTGTTCAACTAACTCGCTTTGATTCAAAAGATAAATCATTATGTTTCATAAAAATTATGCAATATAATTATTATATAAACATCGCTTCAATTGCAGGAGCCGGTGAACTCGTATAATACCGTGGAGCTCTCTCCCAATCCGCCTTCAGAGCCCACGGTAGAAGACCAGAGCTTCCGCACCACCAAGGATGATTTGCTACAACAGATATCTAAGGTAAACAATCTTTTCTCTAAATATACCTACACAGTGGTTTTGCATGATGTAAACCCCTATTAGGAAAATTAATATCCATTATCCGACCTTCCTCTCTCTGCGCGGTGTTTAACGATGGCCCGCTATGCTACAGCCTCTCTAGCCATAGAATACGACATCTTAGCGATATTATGGTACATCATCTTAGCGATATTAGGATATTTCGATTCATTTCACTACTATGACTGTTAGAGAATAATAATTATGGATTTGACAGCACTGTCACCAACTAAGTTAGTTTATCCACCATAAGACATGCCGGAGTATTAAAATGAAACGAATGATCGTCGTAACATCGCTAAGGGGTTGTATACTATTGCCTCTAGCAATATAGCTAGATATCTAGATATCTCTAGATACACCAGGATATTATCGTTTAATTTTCGCTTAAAGCAAGTCTTAAATGATGTTCCACATTGAGACTGTTTGTTCATTGATTATTATTTGGTTTAATTATATCAAATCAAGGTCTAAAATTATATCTTCATGGCGGATCCCTTACGGGGTAGGCAGGGAGAACGCAACGCCACATAGAACGTTCTTCATTGGTATCTTTTCATTCGTTTCTTTGGCATTATCACTTTCCATATGACTTGTTGGTTTTGATGGCTTCTAACGTCACGATCACATGATTTATTTGTTCCTGAAAGGCGTGTCTCCCTCTGATGAAACTATTACCTTCTAATTTTTTTAAGAACTATTACACGGTTAATTACTCATCATGGTTCTATACGTATTGGGAGAAAAAGTCTCAACGCCAAGATTGTGTTATCGAAATCATTATTAAATTAAATTATCGTTCAGTCAAGCTGTTCCATTCCTCCATGATTATCGCCATCTAGTGCAGAAACTAATATGTTGCTTCATTTTGATGCGTTGTATTACAGATACTATAGTGGTGTGTCTTTTTACTATTTGAAGTAAACTCGAATGAAAAAATTTAAATGTTTTGGCAATTGTTATATTGTTGCTGCTGCGAACAATCTAATAGTAATTCAGGCTCAAGTCCATACTTACAATGACATTTGTATGTTAGCTGTCTAGCACCTGTCACCTGTATCAGGGCTTGTTTGTCATCATTGTCGTCATGTGCTTTTACTGTTTTGGTATTCTGAAAGTATCGAACGCGTTAGAGGTTCAATGAAACAGAACGTTCTTCAAACGGTAATAAAGTTTTTATTTGATTGAACATTTTCCTTTAAAAGTACAATTAAAGGAAAAGTACTTCTGATTTGATGATTGTGATTCTCATTTTGATTAAATCGTAAAAAAGCTCGAAAATTCCTACGACTACGTGCTATGTTCTGGAAATCCACCCAGATTTCTAGAACCACATAACTAAGAACTGGGAATGAGTTACTCAAGGTAATAAGTACTGTGGGTAAGGCATTATGCATTACCTGATTTCTTAAGTAATCGGATAGCGTTAGTGGTGTTCGATATGTCATTATGTCGGTGTCGATTTGCAGGTGGATCGTGAGATGGCGTTGTCTGATGCAACTCTGTCCAAGCTGAAGAAAAAGCAGGAAGAGTTGGAGCAGTCAGCGTCGAAGCCAGCGAGGGCGGAAGAACCTGAGGAAGCAGTGCCGCGACATAGAAGTCTAGCGCAGTGTGTCTATGCTGAAAATAGAAAGAAGGTAATGATAACCGTTTCTTCAGAAGAAACTTGTATAATCTTGTAGGCTACGCGCGCTCAGGTGACTTTTTTATGGTCTTGTTCTGTTATACACAGAAATTCTGCTAACAACCCGTAGTGAGAGAGACACGAAACTCAAGAGACTGAACGGTAGTTAGAATTAACCAGTTCTTCCTTGAGATTGTTCTTTCTCTACTAAAAAAAGGACAACACAAAAGCAAACATCACAATAACTACGATAGTTTTATAAATACATAAAAGAGAATTTTGTAACACTTATTGTTATAATTTGATATTATGTTTTTTTATAAATTTGCAAAGACATAGAAAACCGGGTTTGTCAGAAATAGATAGAAGAGTGTTAAGATTAACTGGGGGGGTTTTGGTGATGGTATAAAAGGACGGATACTTCCGACAGTTAAAAAAATGTGATCAGTGGCACCTTCTTCAATTCTACATTCACAGACAGAACTATTCAAAATTCGAATCTTTGAAAGAAAAACACGCGTAGTTACGTGTCCAAAACGTAGACGGCGTATGGTCTGGGGATATCACGAACTTTATAAAACCAAGGCTTACCCGGCACATAGTTTTGTAGGCTACCATGTCGTCCTCTCAGTTTTGCCATCGTGACGTTTTGTCATCGTGACTTTCTGTCTCTTGAGTAATCTGAGTGAATGCATTAGAATCCTAGTGGTAGCGCATTGGCATGGCCCCAGCTATTTATAGCACGCGCACTTAACATGACATGACAATTAGGTGACTTTTGTATGAGGAGCCGGTGACAGATACTGTAATATACAAAAATCAACAGTTCGCTCCAAGTTATATTTATGGAAATACTAAGGATCTTCTATTGCACTGTTGGGGCCTAGGGAAAATTAATAATTGGTGCCCTTATTGCTAGTATTATTAATACACCATCCAAATACCTAATTCACAAGTCTACTAAGTATTAGTGGTACACGTAGTAATTGGTGAGACTGTCGCAGTTACTATATTGGGAATTATTTACAAATGGTTGGGTTCTAATTTCGTACTTACAATTTTACCCAATACATCAAGCTCTCTGTTTTAGCCTTGCATTTTGCTCTGGAACCTTCTGGAAATTAAAGTCTAAAATTGTGTAATGGAGGTTATTAGGTGATAACAACATGTAATACAAATATGAAATCTAAAATTTTAGATAGGGCGAAAATCGTGTCTAAAACTAATTGGATCAAGTTTTTAGAAAATTGGTTTTTAGAAAATATAGTTGTTGTCTTATATTTTAAAATACTTTTATCTCTTGTAGTTAGAGAATGCAATCTCGAATATCAGCAACGCGAGATAATAATAAAAAAAAACTTCATTTAACATCATACTTACGTCCAATTGGAGTGCTTGATAGACACAATAGTTAGCGTGTTAAGACTGCGATTCGGAAGATAGGCAACATCGCAAGGGCCGTTCGTAGGATGGGAGATCAAAAGTTCATTATCTCGCACTCCTCCGTGGCACGTTAAGCCGTTGATCCCGACTGTATCTGTAGTCGTTAACACCCAACAATCGGCACTGGGTCCGCATGGTGGGTTATGACCCATTCTACCTTTTTAATTAGTTTCCATCCATAGGGAAAGCTTCCACTGGAGAGAGCTTTACAGAGTATTAAAATCGACTTCATTAGAAGAAATTCGCTGCGGCGGTAGACTCACCATAATGTTTTACAGCCAGTTGCACAAACGTTCATTAAAATAAAGCGACATTACCCATACGAATTTGACATTCATTAGAGCTTAACGATGTCATTAAACCTTAATGGACGTTTGTGCAACTGACCGTTAGTAAAGTAAGATAAAGCTTTAATTTGAGGTTTATGTTTCCATTATTGAATTTTCTTGTCACCAGGCGATGTTAGCGCACGCTGTGGTATCACACCTCGGTCCGGCGGTTCAGTGGCCGCTGTACAATCAGCCACAAGATACAGCTGTGTACCACGACAACATACGGAGACATCGAGCCTTCAGGCGGCGACTCGCCAAACACATACACCGACTCAAGAGGGAAGCTCATAAGGTACTGCTAATATATTATTCCTTGAAGTATCTAAATAAGTTATTCTTTTATTAATATCCTCAATGGAATTTTTATTCCTTGTCTTGAGGACGCCAAATCCAAATTCTGCTAATATTAATGTTATTTCAATCGCGTCTTGCCATCGTACGATCTACCTGAGTTCAATTAATATTAGTTCAACATCTACTTTACAAAACAATGATGGCAGTTTGTTATTTTATCATATAGTTTGTTATTTTATCATGTAGACTTACTCTGTTTCTCCGAAAACGAAATTTTGTCTATTCGAAACGCTAATATGACTTCAAAGGAACGCATTTTTCGATAATTTATGATAATTTTTACGGACATGATTTTAACAAATTTCAATATCATCATCACCAGTCTATTGATGTCCCCACTACTGCTCAGGCCTCCGCTATGAATGGAATCGAAAAAGGAGAATGGGTCATGACCCACTACGGTGGTCCAGTGCGGATTAGTGGGTATTAACAACTACAGATACAGCCGTGACCCGTCCTCTAGCACGGTGGAGTTCGAGATAGTAAATTTTTGGTCACCCATCACCCAGTCATCACCCGAAGATTGGCCATTACGAAAGTTGCTTAAAAGCACCGCAGACTGATCTCCAGCCCACGCGCAATCGAGCTTCTTAACAAATTTGTAAGAATTATATTTTCGGTCGCGGACAAACACAATAGGGCCTTTGTATCTGACTTCTTACTGAAACGCCATTGATTTGGCATTATTAGGGCCCGGTATCCACACGGTATCGGTGTTGGACTGGTGTACAGCTGCTATTGAATCTAACGAAATACTATTGTAATGATGTATAAGATTATGTATAACAGTGCCGAGAAAACTAAATGAAATAAACAAGTGCAATCTGGATCGACGAACTTATCGAGCTCCTAAATGTTTTAATTGATTATTGTTTGATTTTAGCGGGAGGAGATGTTAGCTGAAGCGTATAGTTCGCGGGCTGCGGAATGGTTAAGGAGAGTAGAACGTATAGAACAAGGACAAAAGAGGAAAGCTAAGGACGCTAGAAACAGAGAGTTCTTCGAGAAGGTAAATTGTTTATCATCATAAAATATTTATGGATATAAATTCCCCATTTTTTGTTTGAATGCAATGGTAAAGTTATGAACTATTGTATTTTTATACAGCCTGTAGAATCTGAGAACCTATATTATATATTATTAATTTGTATACATTTTTGTATGATTATTAGTTTTTATAGGTATATCAATTTGGTCCTTAGAGCTCAGATCATTTGGTCAGATGATTTCACGATTAATATATAATACGAGTTCATGACTAATTCTTAGGCAATTTAGTGGCATATTAGTTACAATAAAGATTGTTAAAGAATTGGCAACGATTCAACTTTCAAATCAGTTACCCTTTTGAAGTTTGAAAATGTAGTTTCAATAACAATTTTAGGTTGTTCTTTTGAAACATTTTTTTTTCTAAATTTTTACTTACAAAACTATGTTCCTTGTTCTATGGATTTTGTGTTTGGGTTTTAAATTTGTATATGTCATCACTCTTGGCATGCTATAAATATATATTATAAATTGTAGTATATATTAAAGAAGAAGATATGTGCTATCAAACTCGAGTATTACAAAATCTCAAAACGTCATATATTTTTTGTAGCAATTATCAAAAACGACAAATCGGTTATTCATACTTTCTCCCAAACGCCAAAAACTAGAGCTGCTATAATAATAATATTATCAGACTCATGTCTAGGTAAACTTAATTATCTATTAACAGAATCCAATTGTCAGTGTATGTAGTTAATTCGTACAGCGCCTCCGGAGCCGTTTTTCCATGAGCCCGGATCCTTCCCCGCACCCAGTGCTTTAATAAATAATGTAATTCAAATAGTTCGATATTTATTTATTTGAGTAACCTGCAAATCAAAAACTTTACATGCAAAAAACTTGACAATTAATTATAAAGTCAACGTGCTACCTTTTATTATAGGAACGGCGTGCATAGAACATTATATAAAACCATGATATGGAAGATTATTACTCCAACAATTTACTAAATAAACTAAGTATATTTAAATAGCAAAATGTAACGTATTATTAAAAGTTATACACGCGTTATTTTTATGATGTTAGCTACAAAACATTTATAAGTATGTATAATATATAACCCTGTATATTTCTTTTGTTCGTGTGCAGGTGTTTCCTGAGCTAAGGAAGCAGCGTGAGGAACGCGAACGGTTTAACCGTCTCGGCGCCCGCGTCAAATCCGAGGCGGAGTTGGAGGAGATCGCGGACGGATTACACGAGCAAGAGCACGAGGACAAGAAGATGAGGTCCCTCACTGTGGTACCGCCGCTGCTGAAGGATCCTACCGACACAACGCCTTTTTACATCGACACTAATAGTCAGTACACATTAGTTATTCACTTATCTCCATAAGGTACATCACCGACATAGAAACGAGAGTGGGTGCTGGGAACGGTGTAAATGGTGCGTTGGGAATATTTGTCAGCAAAACCTTGAATTAGAGAGCCCAGTTCGCTATATTCACAATACGGTGCTAATCCTAACGCAATAAATAATAAATATGGTAGCAAGAGTTGGGTATGTCAGAAAGAGGATGAAAGTGGAATAAATGCACTCGAAACGTGATCGTTATGTAGAATTTTTGGGGAGGAACGCTCGCAGACTAAATTCATAATTGAGAGATGAGCGTAGAAATAGCGTCGGTGTAAAAATCAGTCGGTTCGGACACGTGGAGAGTATGCTGGATGAAAGAATGATAAAACTGATTTACAACCTGAAAGTGGAAGGATACAGAAGTTGAGGAAGGCGATGACGTACCTTTCACGAAAGTGACGTTAGAAGCCATAAAAACAGGCGAGCATGTATGAAAGGAGTTATGAAAGTGGAGGACACGAAAGATGTCTTTTCTACATACCCCGCAAGGGATACTGCGTGAAGATATAGACCAAATGCTTACAAGACCAGCATGGATGAGTGGCTCACACGCCGGTTTCAAGGTGTCACCAACTCCGAGGTCTCGAGTTCGATTTCCGGTCCGGTTTTCTATGTCGTCTCTGGTCTGCATGCTGTGTTACTTGCATTGTTTCAGAGTACCATAATAAAATGGTTTAGCTACTTAATTTCGGATTTGAGCAATGTATGCGATTTAGTCTTATGTTTATGGTATTATATTTAAAAAAAATATTAAATTAGAGTATTCATAAAGTCACAAAGTAGGAGCTTGATTAATAGAAGGAGCAAAAGTATGCGCAATACGATCTACGAAATTTGGCGAAGGCTAGTCATAAGATGGGCGCCGAAAATGTCTTGTTCTTCTCTTTGCTTCAGAACGCATGATGTATTGATCTTGGCAGCATCTGCTATTAAGTTAACTTCAGCATTCCGCACTGGGCAGCGCAGTTATAGAAATGGGCCTTATTTCCCCTTTTAGATTTCATCCATACTATGCCATCGGTTCGCAAATCTGCGGCAGGATATTTTTTACGGAGATAGACCGACAAAAACGAAACAAAAGCCACTTTTATTTGCGCTTTACACTTAATGGTCAATACAACATGTTTTGAACGCACACCCTAAGTATATCTAACGAGATAGTTTTGAAGGTTGAGTGTATTTAGATCCAATTCGATATCAAAAAATCGATATAAGTGCGGTTACGAGATAAACCTGCTTGTCCATTGACCCAGTATTATACACACATGCTACTTGATCAATTATACAGTAAAACCCGTTTAAGACGATTTCACAGGGACTCAACCAAAAACGCGTCTTAAACGGGAAAGCGTATTATGCGGGATACAGGGAAATAAAAAACTGACCTACTACATGCGTATGTATTAATATTTATTATGTTTTTTTGGATTTAGGTATTGAATTGTACAATTAAAAATTATGTACGTTATATAAAATGACGTGTATTACTATCACGTTATTTAAAATAATCTCTTATTTTAGTTTAACAGAAAGATAATGAGGCATTAGCAATTACAATATTTTCAACGTAATTCAACTTTTGTAGTGCGTCTTCGCTTTGATTCGAAGAAGTTACATAGCGTCTTAAATCTTTAACTGCTGGTAATGCCTGGGCGTGTGTCAAAATCCGACTTGACTCATCTTCTTGATCATTATCACTTAGAGCCTCTTCTTGTGTGTTATTCACACTCTCAATAAGGCGTATTAAAGAGGATGACGATCGTATTAAGCGGTAAAGAATGTATGAAAACATGTCTCAAGTTGCAGGGACTGATGCAAAATGGCGTATTATGCGAGAAATCGTATTAAGCGTGATCGTCTTAAACGAGTTCTACTGTATTTCTACAGTGTCTCGCGTCTGGGTGTTGTGGTACCTTTGTTTTTTTTTTATGTTTTCGTGATGCAAGTGGTTTAGATACTTAATTTGGGACGTGAGCTGGTTTGGTGTCTAATATTTATATTTGTAATCTGCTTTCTTTTCACCAGGACGTTGTATGGACATGGAGGCGGAACACAAAGGCTTACAGAATCGTAACGTATGGTCGGCGGCGGAACGTGAAGTGTTCCGTGAGAAATACCTACAGCATCCCAAGAATTTCGGTCAAATCGCATCGTTTCTGCCCAGGAAGAGTGTACGGGATTGTGTCAGGTTAATAATAATTTACTAATGATAATAATTATTTTGCTAGCGTCTATAGAGCGTATAATTAATTTCCTTGTGAAAATTCTGCGATAGACAAAATCCTCTATGTGGCTCTGTCCTACTTGCCTATTAATAATATTATGAGTAGCTCGGTAGCGTAGTAGATAAGCGCCGCGGCCCGCGATCGTTGTCATTAATCAACTTTCGCAAGGGTCGGTCACGGGATTGGTGACCAAAAAGTTATTATCTCGAGCTACTCCGTGCTTCGGAAGGCACGTTAAGCCGTTGGTCCCGGCTGCATCTACTGTCGTTAATACCCTCCAATTCGCTTTGGGTCAGCGTGGAGGGTCATGGCCCATCCTCCTTAACCATCCATAAGGAAGGCCTGAGCCCCTACAGTGGGGACGTAAAAGGGCTGATGATGATGAATATTACGAGTAAAAAACTTTCAACGTTTTGGCTGCCATACTATTTTAACTTTCGCAAAGAGTCTATCTAAAGATTGGTGGCAAAAAATTATCTCGAAACCTTCCGGCAATGTAAATCCGTCGATCCCGGCTGGACCTGCAGTCCGAATTGGGCACGCGTGGTTATATAGTTTGTTCTTTCTATCTAATTCCATCCATAGAGAAGACCAGTAACCCAGCGATTAAGATATTAATATACTGATAGTATATTAAGAAGTAGAACAATTAGCAAATGGACACTTAATTTTAAGATACTGGTCCCTAACAATGATATTAATTCGTATTTTCTTTGTGCAGGTTCTACTACTTATCTAAGAAGGCGGAGAATTACAAGCAGTTACTAAGGAAACCAAGACAGCGGCGGTCAGCGCGGAACCCCCCGCGCCCCGCACCTGAACCAGACCTGCCCGCTGGCGTCACCACCAGACTGCAGCGGTCACAAGGTAACACATAGATAGATATAAGTCCCGTAAATTGCTAATGCGGTGGAACCTTGTCCAAATAACATCCGCGTGACGTCGTTTAAGAATAGAAAGTATAGATTACACAAAATGCAAGAGCTTAATTATATATTAATTTATGAATAATCCCCAAAATATTGTTAAAGTAATTGAATAATTATTAACTTGTCAATTTATTGTATTAATTTTTGGAAAAGATCAATTTATATGGTAACATTGAGGTATATGGAAAATTAAAAAAATATGAATATAATAAGTTACTTTGTAATAACGTGATAACAAATGGAAATATTTTTTTTTTCAAATATAGCTCATAGTAATCATGAAATAAGAGGTACACATATTTTGTTTTAATTAAAAAAGTTTTACTTGTGGTGAAAATCATAATAGCAGTTGCTATTTACTCACCCATAACAAGTAACAACTGTTAGAACTCAATACTCTTTATCGAATACCATGGACATCAAACTTTATCGATTGTATTATGAGAAGCACTATCTGTCAGTGGGTGGGTTGCCACTGTCACTTTTTGAAGTTGACATTGACGGATGATGACATGATTTTGGGCGGCAATTGAGTTCTAAAGGTTGTTGTAAAAAGTTGATGTATCGAAATCAGTTTTTAAAATATATGGTAAATCAGTTAAATTTGTGTTTAATACAACAAAACTTTACAATAACAAACGAAAACAATTAAAATTATATGTGATCTCAACACAACCCAACTCAATACGTATAATCATCAACCAGTGTGTATTTGTTAACGGTACTGATTGTTGATCGTAATTATGTCACCAGAATGGCGGCCAGGCGCATTAACAATTTGCGGGGAATATACACCGATATACATACTAACAAACACGCACACATAATCACAGAGTGAGATACTCATAGAAGTTGACAGATATGTACACCCTTTTAAAGATAGACAGAGATGAACCCACTTATAGAAATAGACAAATACATATAGATTCTCATAAAGAACAGACACATAAATATAGAGATTTATTGACGTTTTTTTATATGTTTATATTATATATTTGTTTTAGGAGCGACACAACGTGCGGCTGACAAGGAGCCGAGCTTAGAAGAAGGATTGTCTTGTATACTGCCGCCCGCTGCACCTGCCCCCGCACATCCCGCCCGGTATTTATATATTTATTTTCATTAGAAAGTCACAATACAACGGTTACCTTATCTTATAATAATAGTTTGTGTTAAGAGCGGTTGCCAATCTGTGTTGGTAATCAGAGCTCTGCCTCAGCATTAGCCATAACAGTGCAAATTACCCTATTATAAACTCCAGTTATTCCAGCAAAGCCTGTCATTATAAGCCTTAAATTCGCCAGAACGATTCCGTAAAAATCCAAACTCGAATTCAAATTCACTCAGGAACCCGCTTAAACTTGAATTTGTATTTGAATTGGCATAAGTGAAGTGTGTTTCGAAATGACATAGGTATAGAATATCTGAGACGCGCATGAATCAATCTTGTTTTGTATTTTTATATGTATAAAAAATTTTATCAATAGAATTTCTACACTAACATAAGTTAAGCGGATTTGCATTCGAAGGGAATTCGGCCACCTGAGAGCATTTAAATTCGGGTTCGTATTTTTACAGAATCACTCTGCTGATACGAGCTTATAAAAAACCCGTTTTATCGAATCAAACTACGAATGAAATCGTACTTACGAATTTTCTATTGTCAGAATAACATTATAAACACTAGACGCGACATAGCCCTCGTACAATAAACATGTATATGAAAATACATGAAATAATTGTTGGAAACTGTATACGTAATTTACATTGCTCGCTTTTTAATTCTAAACCTACAAATATTAATACAAATATTATTTTCATATTAATTTTTTGTTATATTTTATCATACCCGTGAACAAACAACTAAATTAAATTAAGAACTGTTGTAATGAATGAACGATTATTTTATATTTATATCTGACAAAAAGAGCTTTACAAAAACGTTAATCTAAACACACACACGCTTTTAAGATTCCTTGCTTCGATCAACAATACAACTAGAGTTTCAAAGATGGCCGAAGACAACGTCTCACTTCAAAATGCGGCCTTATTTTGATTTAGTATGGATCTATCTAGTTGTAATGTTGATCGAAGATTCTTTGTCTCATAAGAAAAACCCGGAACGTCGAATGTTATGGCAAAAACAGGTTGTGATGGCGTGTGGGATAGTGAACATTAGAATGCCTTCAGTTTGCTTCGGTGGATCCCGAATCAACTACGAACGACAGTGTTGACTAATTGGAACAATTCATACGCTACCCTCACGTAAACTCACACCCAGTTGCACTTGATGATAATTTAATTCAACCACCAAAATTATACGGATTGCCGAAAGTGCATAAGGCCAGCGTTCCACTGAGACCGATTGTGAGTCAGATTGACTCACCTACTTATTATTTGGCAAAACACGTTGCTTCCATACTGCAACCGCTTGTGGGCACTACAACATCCTTTGTGAAGGACTCGCGTCATTTTGTACAGATCCTTGATGATACAAAACTGGATCCGGATGACGTAATGGTGAGTTTTGATGTTGAGTCGCTGTTCACCAAAGTTCCAGTTAAGGACTGTCTAGAGGTTGTTAGGATGAAACTTAGACAAAACGATATACCAGACGGGTACATGGTTCTATTACGAAACTGTTTAGATGGCAGCTATCTCCTATATCGCGGCAAACATTACCTTCAAATTGATGGTGTCGCCATGGGTAGCCCCGTAGCGCCACTTTTGGCCAATATATGGATGGAACATGTCGAGTCATTGATAGATTACCAGTCACATGGGATCCGTATGTGGAAACGGTATGTAGACGATGTGTTCTGTATCCTGAAGGGCGACAAACCGGAGATTGAGCAGTTCCTTACACACGTCAATAATATCCATCCGAATCTCAAGTTCACCTATGAGTTAGAGAGTGACAAAACCTTACCCTTTCTGGACGTTAAAGTCATGGCGCAAGCTGATGGGTCCCTGAAACACACTGTCTACAGGAAACCAACACACACAGACAAGTACCTCCACGCTTCATCTCATCATCATCCTCAACACCTACGTTCTGTGGAGACAAGTCTTATTAACAGGGCTAACGCATTATGTAATACTGACTTCTTAGCAGATGAGTTGTCCCATGTACAGGACGTGCTAAGGAAAAATGGATACAGCGCAAGGAGGTCATACCCTATCCGAAGGTGTAAGGAAAGACTACCTAAGGTTTCCCAGGCAACGGGCATTTTTAGGCTATGTTAAGGGGGTAACGGACAAAATTGGTTCCATTTTGAGGAAAAATTTTTCTATAGACACCATTTTTACTCCTTTATCAAAAATTTCACACCAATTGCGATCACCAAAGGATAGTATTCCTTACCAAAAACCTGGCGTTTATAAAATTTACTGCAGCTGCGGTAGTTCATATATCGGACAAACGAAGCGGACTATCGCCGAACGTGTAAGAGAACACATAGCAGCGGTCAAAAATCGTCAAGTGGAGAAGTCCGCGATTGCAGAGCACTTATTATCATCTGGATGGACGTCCTAAGCTATGAATCTTAAGGCTGATGCCAATTTTACAAACATATTTTAAAATGTAAGTTATATAAGACCAAAAATTCATAATTTTCATTTAGAATTTGGCGCCAAAACGACCAATATTAACTAATGCAACTCGAGTTGGGTTCATAGTAAATAAAGTAACTCCGAAAACGGACTTAAAACGTAAATTAGTAAGGCAATGGAGAAGATTTGCGGGTAAAATATATCTATATAGATAAAAATGAATCGCTAAATGTGTTGCTAAGCGCAAAACAGCTGAACTCAATGCTGATACGATTAGGGCCATTTTTTTTCTTTTGTTTGATGAAGTCCGAGAAAGGTTCATAAGAAGAGAAAAAATATTAGGAAAATATTAAAAACCACAATTCCTTTTCCACTCTGTGGTTTGTACGGGAAGTGGTTTTTCTCCAGCTGTCAAACACTTGACGTCAATCAAAACAAAACAAAGGTGCGTTAGGAATATCTTTAGACTGTCTTCTTTTTTTAGAGGTTGCATGTAGTAGAACAAGGTCTTACATGATAGCAAGTAGAAAATATATAAATATAATTTGAGAAATAAATAAATTTCGACGCTAGTTTATAGCGTAAGAACACTATTAAAAAAACAATAGCCTTTAGAAACGTAATACTTTGTCTCTTCTACTTATCGCCGTAGTGCCTATATCTTATCTGGAAGACTGGAAGAGAATACCCTCGGCATTAAGTAAGCCTTTTGCTGTAGAATCTTTGCGTAATAAGATATACGCCGTGATTTAATATAGCAAAAATTGTACAAATAGTTGGGTACTCACGCGAAAAAAAAAAACTTACTTATTTCCGGTGAGAATCAATAGTGGTAGGAAAAAACGCGGTAGAATTTTTCTCCCTATATCAATAACAGAGCATCCCGGTTCCCGATGTAGCTAGGGTTGTCACGACTAGAACTTTCCTCTGACTGAATTTATTGTTAGAAATTATATGGTAATAATGTTTTATTTTTGATTGAAGTGAAATAAATTCATTTTTAAAATGACAGCGGTCTGTAGAGCGTTGATTAGCGATTTCAGTTACAAAGCATTTTGATATTTATTCCCCTCATTTAAATTTATACTATCGCTTGAACAGATCGCCTGGCCATCTTGTGTTTAATCCAGTCATCAATATTTTAATTCCATGTGTTTTCGTTAGTTATGGCCCTTCGAATGATTGAGTTATGATATTTATGTTTAAATATAAGTGATAGTATGTACATGTGACAACCCTAAGCATATCGAGCTTTTTAATTACACTTTGTCAACATCAGGCGATGAATAATTCAGAGTGGACGATCTTGGTCCGACTTCTCTGTGTAACGTCTGTGATATTGAATGATGTGACGTGGGCTTTTGATGTTAAAATAATTATACTAACTGACCTCGCAAAACCGCAGACTTTCTGCTGCTTTATAATTAAAATGTGTTATCGCTGATAATGTAGATAGCAATAGCTTCTTAAAGAAGTCCAGTAGTTTTTGGGTTTATCTGTTGATTACAAACAAACAAAACTTTTCTCTGTATAGTACACGAGCCAGTTCAGAAATGAGAAAATTTCATTAAAAACTTCATCCCCCTTACTTACATCATGAAAGATGAAAGCAGACCCCTTAACCAAATTTCGAGTTTCTAGGTACAGTAATTTGGAATGTGCGTTGATATGTAAGTCAGCAATGTTTGCTTTTTATATAGAGATTATATAGAGTATAGATAATTGTTGGCCTTCTATAACCGACTCGGTCAAGGATCTGAAGATACGTCGCGTATCTTCAACGTCAAAGTTAGAACTGACATAATGATGCCAAATATGTGACATTGAATCTTGCACACCCGACGGATCATCAAATAACGTCAGATTTTCACCGATCCTAACGTGTTCTATTGGCTTTATTTTATACGCCAACAATAATAAAGTTGTATTCGTTCCGGGAGCGGTTAAATAAAAAGTGAACTTTCTATATTATCTCTGGTCTGGATGAAATCCTTATATTTTCATAACACAATTTAATTTAGCATTAGAGTATATTTAAAATATTCTCATACACATTAAGGTCTAGACTACCCACACGTTGAATTACATTACGCCAAAATTAATCATAGCCGAGAGTGTTTTACAAAAATTCGTAAACTCACCCCTATGTTTGAGGAGCAAACCTCATGGCGGCCGCTTGTGTTTGTCCACCACCGGCTCCAAGACTAGAATAATTCAATTTCTCATCCATTAATCGTTTAAAATTCTCATTCTTTTTTATTCCTTCCAATTCCCCCGATTCCGACGAGAGCTTTCTATCTCAAACATTCGGAGTTTTTTACCATTTTTCCGTTATATTATTCCAGAGCGATGTTCATTTTGATTTAATCAAATTGTCCGCATATTATAGACTGTCTTTGATGTTGAGAATTAATTTTGTAAAGAACTCTTTTGCATTGGAATTGTAATTCTTGAGTATAGTTGTAGAGTTCACTTTTTTTACAATCGTACATGAAGCCTCCAATTTTTTTAAAACCCTGTCCAGAAATACGTGTGAAACTAGTGTTGAATGATCTGTTTTAATTCGTGGCACATTTGCTCCTTCTGGAAAATGTCATTGTCCTGGCATGTGACTTCTTTCGTAGACGGCACATTATTAATTCTACAGTCAGATTGCTCCAATCGGCAGTGATATTCTGTTAAAAATACAGCGTCGACCTTTCAACCTTACTTACATTTTAAAGTAGGTTTTATTCGATTGACCCTGTAATGCTATACTTGACGACGCTATAGAATAACAAAGCTGAAGTTCTGTCAACAAACAAAATCTTAATTAATTAAAAAAAAAAATTTAGGCAATATTTGGCCCATCATCTAATTTTGTTTTTACAATAATTGAGTATTCGTCTCAATCAGAACATTGCTCCCAAGTTAGTGTAGTTAGTTGAAGCGTAGGGCGTATTTAGTTATGTATGACTTACGGCTCCTCTCCTCGATATATTTAATTTTAGTTGTTAATGTAAAAATTGGCACATATTAATGAATCATTTAAATTAAATTTTAAGAGTATAAGTTTTAACTCATACTCTCAATTTCATATTTAAGAGATATTTTCATGTTATTTCGGTTTCCCTTCGGGTTATAAAGAGTACGGGGCATAACAGCGGCGTAACATTCGTGCGTGTGTTGACAATCACTCCCGTGATTATTTGGAGAAGATCCCGCGGGTTGCCGTGCTGACGGTAGTGCTGATGAATTAGCGTTGATTAAATATCGATATATATGGACTTGACGATGTCCTGATTGTTAGAGTTAAGTTTTATAGCGTCTGCCATCTCTTAAATTTGCGCTTTCGATTCCCGGGTTACTGTTAGAAAATAATATAAATTGATAAATATTGGTGGTATGTTTATTTTTCAATCAAGTCTTATTAGCTCAAAAGGCTGTAGGATCAGTACACTTAATTCATCCATGTAGAAGTGAATAGTAATAATAATTTTGTATGCGAAAATAGGAAATAGTGTTTAAGATGACCAGCATATTTCTTCGTTAAGACGACGTAAATATGTTACTTGTTGCATGTTCATAACTATTCAGAAATGAGTGCAGCAGTTTTATAAAATTGTAGGATATCGAAGTGAAATAAAACCGTGGAATTTTGAAGTCCTATAGTTAATTTATGAACCGTTGTCAACATAATTCTCAAATTATCAGATTATAGTAATTCTGTTCATTAACACATCAATAGAACCTCGTATCGATAGAAATAAGTACACTGTCTCCTCCCTAACCGGTATCTCCCTATAAGGCTTGTTTAGATTTTTACGCAAACACTGAGTCCATCTTTTTAATTGCCTTAATTAAAGCACGAATCGAGCAAACGAAAATGTACACTGCTGCCAGAGAGAAAATCGAAAGAGTTTTGTAGCGTTTGTTAGCGATACTGCATGTACTTAGTATTAGTGCAGTTTTTTTTTAATGTTAGTGACCACGCTTCTATACTGTATATGTTAATTTTATTAAGAGGAAAGATTGTGTATTATCTATTTGCTATGAATATTATACATATCTGTTTGTTTTAAATTCTAAATTAGGACCGATTTCTTAAATATGCATAACAATAAAATGAATAAATGAATAATCGAGATTGTAAATGTTGATGTATATGTTAAAGTTTATTAAGTAATATTTTATTTGTTCATGCAAACTTTTACAAAATCAGCTTCTATTTAATAAAAAATAGTCCCATCACTATTGTGAGTGCATACATTGATATTTTTGTAATAGTAAATTTATTAACCACAACGCCTAAATTAATTATTGACTGTAAATCCGCCCTAAAGAATTTTGCCTATCGATTACGGTTCATCGTATGAATCTGTGTTGCCCTTGCAAACTACTCGACGTTTCGACTGTATGATAAAGTAAATCAGATTTCAATTGCTTGTGCTATTCCGAATCCATTGTGTTGGATACTTCAGTGATATGAATAGCCTCGGTTTTCATCGAATTATCATTGACCAACTGTTACCAGCGACTTCGTTCACGTAGTCATTATAATCAGTAGTTTGAATATTTTTGTCATCATCTTCAACGTAAAATAATATGAAATTTTCACAATAAAAAATTTCACAAAATGGTGTTGAGGAATATTTAAGTCTCTATAGAAATATGCACTTTTAGAATAATGGTAATAGTGATCTAATTATAATTTGTAAAAATTAACATGACACACGAGGGCCTATTCTTTTGGCTCGAAAATACGGACGGCTCGTTCTTATAATTTGGTTAAAGTCATATAAACGAGGATTATTTGTGCATCAGAGGCAGTGTTAGGTCCTGCCTCCGTTGTCTCTTAAATTATCGAATATGCGTTTCTTTGGAGTCATATTAACATATAGAAAATTGCAATCAACGTGCCTTCAGTAAAAAGAAGACGCTCCTGTGATCATGTAGCCGGTCACCCATCCGTCAACTGGCCTTAGCGTACGATCCTTAACTTTAGTAGTCTTTCAATGAAAGTATTACATTTATTCTGGATAATACGTAAAGGGATAACAACCGCATTGTTTACTCGCACGGGCTCAACATGCCGCCCCCCCCCCTCGCTTGTTCAATTACCACCCTGTATTAATTGGCCAAATTTTAATGATCCTCAAATAACATCCAACCGTGAAACCGCATCGGGATTTTCAATTTTGCAGCAATTTTTTATATATACATATATGCGATGCTGGTTTTTTTGTTGATTTACATTTTAGAATCAATATGAATTTCATGTTTATGAATTTCATACTTACACAATATATCTCTATTTTATATTTTTTTTTATCAGATAAAAAACATTGATGTCATGAATCTACCAAATTATAAATTTTAATTTTTTCGCTTTTTTTAAACGCTTATCTGCAATAAAAATATTTATCCCAGAATATCTATTTACCAAAAAAAAAACAACCTTTCGTAATCCGGTCTTATTTTAGGGCAATAATATGTCAATAGGGTAAAAATCCACCAGCCCCTGGTGACGGATTTTTAATTTAAACATTTTTCATTAAAGATAGGCCACTGAAAATTACATTTAAATATAGCTATAATTATAATAAAGGAGAACAATTTTAAGAACAGGAAAATTGTAATTAGCAGCGGATAAAGGATAATAATAGGATCAGAGTAACACTGTCTTAAATTCAAAGTTTATTTGTATAATAAGCTGAGTATATATTTTACTAATAACCGAATGTTATATTCGACTAATAAAGCCGTTTAAAATCAGTTTATGAAACAAGAAATAACAGCCGGATATAAAAGGAAAAATATATTATACAGACGGAATTAATAACCTCCGCTTCTTTGAAGTTGGTTAAAATAGGCATTTTTTTCTACATAAAAGTGTATAACTTATCATTTCTATTGCTGCCACCTCGCTAATGAACTCACCGAATCACGTTAATTATGTTTACGTGGCGTTCTCTACCCGCCAGAATAATTAGTGCTGAGCCATCGCAAGCTGCTTACGGCAGCAATACTTTTAAAGCTTGCTATCAGTTCAGACATGATGTATGTCGGAAAGCATACCAAGCTTACCTTACTTTCTTTTTACTATACGAGCCTAAGACTAAGATTAACTTAGCTACGATTTCGCGGCTTAGCTGTCATTTTAGTACTGACAGCAAAAAAAAAAAATGTTTGCTAAACATTTGTTGATTTACTCGTAAAACTTTTATTACTCGATTTATTATTAGTATTGAAATGACTTCATGAAGTATTAATAAATTGTATTGTTGATTTTTGTATTTTATTTATTAATACTAAATATGAAGCAGACTTTTTTCATCGCAACTGTAACGCAGGCCATCCCAAACACGTCGCAATTTATAATTTCGGATTCCGTTACAAACGTTAATATGCCGTAATCCGTTAAGCTCATGCTACACTATTTTGGACACTTTACACCCTGAAGTTTAAATGCCAAGATAGCCTTTCTTGTTTGGTGTTCCCTTTTACTTTATTCTTAAAGAATTTATAATCAGTAATTATCTTGTCAACAGGACTGAACTGATTCGAACACCCCCGTTAATACCATCGCCGCCGCCGGCGTCGTCAGCGCCTGGTGGCGGGGCCAGCAGCGATCCGGCGCCGACCACGCCCCCGCCACTCGAGCTCAAACCGGACACGCCGCTACCGCCGTTACCACCGATGCCGCCGCCCGGCGTCGACACCATACCGGTCGAGACGGTAAGTTATATGTAAATAAGACTGGTTCTTAACCGGTAGTCCCTGAAAACATCTCAATTGGTCCGTGATACGGATTTTTTGTATAGATATATCGAAAAACACTTTATTTGTTAATTGACTGAAAGGTGGTTCTTAAAACCACTGAATTAAGAGGACGTGTATCTCTTTATAAAATAAAATCTTATAACTTTCAGTTTGTTTCGTACACATAAAAATAACGTCCAGCAGCACGATTCTTTAAAAATCCGAACCTGAAGTCTAATTCACTCATCGTACACACGAGTGTATCGTACATTTAGTGAAGAAATTCTATTGATTTTCATTTTTGGTATAAAAATATAAAACAAAATTTATTTTTTCACATATGCCACGAAACGTTATGCCCATTTAAAAATTGACCGGGAGCCGCTTTTTGAAGTGAATTATCTGTCTATTATCTCATTAAATAAAATGCAAACAGGTATCTCCAACAAACGTCGCGTCCCCTCTACCTCCGGGTGGCAGCACGACGATGGTTCCGTCTGCGGTCGCGTCCATTCCCACACCGCCTACGCCCACGCAGCCTCCAACGCCCCCAACGCCCACGCCCACGCAACCGCCCACGCCCACGCAGCCACTGCTCATGCCGGAAACAGGTCAGTGTTAATTTTATATGTGAAGCTGTCAACTGTACTGTGCAAATGTGCAACGAACGGCGCAATTCTATTATGGCAAGTGAACATATTGAAGTTATTTAATTATTATACAACTTTAAAGTCGTCTAATATTATACAACTTTAAAGTCGATGCTCAGCGATCGACGATATTTTACACTTTATCAATTGAAAAGTATCACTATTACGATTCCCGGCTTACGGAGGCCTTCGCATCCGTATGCTACTGTATGGAAGCGTTTGCATCCGTATGCTACAGTATGGAACTGTTCGTGTCTGTAGGCTAGTCTATGGAGACATTCGCATCCGTACGCTACTGTATAGAAGCCTTCGCATCTGAATGGAGGCGTTTGAACATGATGGATAATTCTATTGTCAAGTTAGTGGTCTCCAAATGGCAGACCGCGGTCCGAATCTGGACCGCCGATTTATTTTATGAGGATCTTTTGTTAACGATAAAAATACTTTAATTATTAATATTGTAAAAACACTTTGTACTTACTTCTTTTTAAATAGTATTGTTTATTACCTTCCGGACCGCGATGATCATGTTTTTTGAATAACGGACCCCTTATGAAGGTTAATTTAATTACTGATTCCTGATCTAAGTTGTAATTTTTTTTCTGTATTTTGCAAGCAATGAATAAAATTGAACTGTACTTCAATCAGTAAATTGGTTCAGTCTGTCAATCGTACTTTATTTTCGCTGATCAATGCTCTATCTGGTGTGACAGCGCTGTGTTCGACTTCATGTACAGGTTTTTTTGCAGAATAGCACTACTCGGGACACCAATTTCAAAGTTTATTTTAAATCTTTATGATTTGAAACTTAAATCCTTTAACTTGGAAAATTGTACTTAATGAAAAATGCTTAAAGAATCCACTTTATCCCATGTCAGAGTACCAGGGACAAAGTGGATTATTTAAGCATTTTTAATTAAGAATATTTTCCAGTATAGCATTGTGAATGCAAAATTGTTCAAATATAATAATTGAAATTTTTTTTCCTATATATATTTTTTACAAACACAACATTCATATAAATGTCTAAAACCATTTATTTATTTATTCATTGCATTGCATACATGTGACCTACCAACTAAAGACAAATTTCAGTTAATAATATTCATATGCCATCATAGGCATGACAATATAGAAAGATGGAAAGAAAAGGGTCAGACATTCCATTTTATCTAAAACTTTTCAATCAAATATTCATTCAATGTGTAATAGCATTTCTTTAAAAGGATATTTTTTACCATTTTTATAAATCGAGTATGTTTATGGTATTCAACTAATTTATTTAAGAATAACTTATTATTTATTTATCGATCATTTTATCGAATCATGTACTTTATGCATTAAAAAAAAATGAAATGAAATGAAAATATCTTTATTCAAGTAGGCTATTACAAGCACTTATGAATCGTCCAAAAAACTTTTTCCCCTACCACTTGTTCAGGACGTCTTTTAGCTGACAAGAAGAACAAGCGAAAGAAACTTACCAGCTTTTTATTATAAGTTATGAAATGACATTTACATAAATCATGTCATTACCAAAATAATATGTATTATCACAATAGTAAATACAACTTTTAAAGTCTGTAGGACATAGGTTGAACATATAATTAGAACAAAGCGAAGGCTATTAATTCCATACATTGCGATCCTTAAAATAATCATCAACTTTATAATAGCCTTTACTCATAAGTATATTCTTTACATGAATTTGAAATTTATTTATGGGTAGGTCAATTACATTTTGTGGAACTTTATTGAACATAGCAATACATTTACCCAGAAATGATCCTCTGGTTTTTTGAAGTCTGAAGCTTGGAACGGCAAGTTTATCTTTATTTCTTGTGTTAAGATTATGAACACTACTTTTGGTTGTAATGGAATCGTAATGTTTTCTTGTGTACATAATATTCTCATAGATGTATTATATCTGTTGTAAGTAAATTAAAATGAAGCCTTGATCTGTAAGGCTGTCAGCTCAATTGTCTGCTGACCACTATTGGTCTGTCCAATCTTAGAATAGTCCTAATAAGTATGATGACTAATTATTTTATTTTGCCCGTCAGGTTTTTACGTAATTAATAATTTACGGCGATACATTGAGTTTAATTGTCACATGACATCACGATTTGTATATTTTCTACAAAGATATGACGTAGCGAGCTCCCACTCCTCAACTTTTAGCTATTTCTTGTTAAATTGAACGACGTATCTAACATTTTTTCTATAGTCTTAACTGAAGGATTAATTAGAATATCTTTTTTACCCAAGCTAGGTCAGGCTTTTTGTCTAAAATAAATTGAACTTAATTTTCAACAAATTAAAGCTTAAAATCTATTGGATAAAAGAAGGAACCTGCTGTTGATGACTCAAAATTTGGTAATTGAATAAATAAATTGATCTTATGGTCAGGTTATATTTATAAACTACGTTTTTTTTTAAAATCGGATCAGAAACTTCGTTAGGCGCGTTCGTATTCAGGAATTTTGAAGCATGTTCGCTCTATCGTAGCTTATAATGTGTATGAAGCTATTTGTTTTTTTCTTTTTATAACAGTAAATAGGTATTATATAATGATCATTTTGACGCACCCCTATTCCTGGCGCCCGGGACAAGTATTTGTGAACTCTAGAAGAAAAGTAAGAAATAAATTATAAAAAAAAATCATTAAAATATTCTCGTACGTATAATTATTATGATAACTCGTATCAGTTAGTTAATAATGTGTTTAATATAAATAAATGTTAGACAACATCACATACATCTCTCACTTGTATTATAGAAATATGAAATAACGAAATAACGAGGCAATTTAGAAAATGTATATAGACCAGACCGGGAATCGAATCCGGGATCTCAGAATTGGCGGCGATTTGAAACTGGCTTGTGAGTCACTACCAATGGAGATTGTCAAAAAAGATATATTTGTTTGTTTTTATAACTCACTATCTGTTTTCACGCATCTTCGCCCGCGTAAATTTTAGTTTAATGCCAGTCGCGTATGATGCTATCCGTAGGTGAGTTTTTTTTAAATCGCTCTAGTCATTTTCGAACCGGATTTAAAGCAAACGAGCAATTTAATCTTTCCTCTTTATAATATATGTAATATATGTTTCAAAACGGAATTATTAATAAAAACTACATTATGATTGTTTAGCGGTTAAATACATTTCAAATTGAAACAATTTTAATTATCAGAGAAGAGGTTTTTTATTCAAATCATATGTTTATGATTTGAATAAAAAATGAACATAGAAAAATAAATATCAGATTTATGAACACGCTTATTCATAAAATTTTAACTGTAAAAACAGATATTTAAAAAAGACTACATTCTGTTCGCTTTTAACAGAAATCAAACCACCGTTTATATATTCAACATTTATTTCAACAACAAAATGACGCAACCTACCATCGGTCACTTCAGAATAAGCTCATCCGAGATCACTGTATAATACTGATATGTTTCACTGATACTACTGCACGTGTTCACACTGCCTTAGAAGTAGACGGTTGGGGCTGGTCCGAAGGCTCCGGGGGTTCGTCAGCGTGACACCTCTTCCTATGTTTGTGCACGAAATAATAAGAAGGGAACCGTGAGCCGCAAGATTTGCAAGGGTAATAGTGTATAGTAGACTTCTGAGATCTTCTGTGGCGGCACCAGTTGCGATCTGAAGTTTCACGCCAAGCGACGTTTAGTACGCGGCTGAAACGGACCGGACCATCGCAGGATGCTATGTCCAGAACTGCGTTAGACGTCGGCTTAGGAGGATCGGGTGCTTCGACACGTTCTACGTCCAATTCGCTGGATACAGTAGATTCCGGTGATGGAGGCGGTGGCGATCCTGGGGGCGGTGGTGTTTGTGGTCTCGCGCGGCGAGGGACAGGCCGATGAGCCCCAGGTGGGGGCGCAGGGCGCGTTACACAGGGCCCCGGGCCCAGCCATGCGCGGTACAGGGACAACATTCCCGCACCGCGCTCGTCAGACGACTGTGCCGCGCGGGAACCACTCACTCGCTTAAATACACTTAGTGTCGGCCTGATTTCACTCGTGAGATGGAATAAGGGCTGTATAAAATTTGCATTCATTTTTCCTTTATATTTTTAGGGAAATATACCATAATGATGTGAGTTTTACTTAAAGATTTTAAAAGCATCCAACCTGGTAAAGTTATCCACATGTTAGCATGACTTTTTATACTTTATTTGGAAAAGTCTAAAACATTTACGATGTACTAAAGACTTTATAAAAAAAAATTGACGTTATAATACAAATAAAAATGAATCGCTAAATATGTTGCTAAGCGCAATACTCAAGAATCGCTAAGCTGATTTGGCGAATTTCCTTTTGTTGTGTTTGATGAAGTCTGAAGAAGGTTCTTATGGCGATAAAAAATACAAGGAATATAATAAAAACAACAATTTTCTTTTACAAACCATTATGACTCCAGCTGTCGAATATTTGACGTTAATCAAAGCAAAACAAACGCCCGTTAGGTTTTATCTTTGGTATGTCTTCAAGTTGATAGATAGTTGCATGTCTTTAATGAAATAGCACAAAGTTGACTCAGCCGGAGCAGCTAGTAGTATAATAAAAATTGTAAATTACTCGACTTTAAAATTCAATGTAAAAATAGTTACTAAGAAATACTTCACAAACTCTGTCCCTAATTTACAATTATGCAAAGCACACTCGCCGAGGGAGTGGGACTCAAAAATGAGACGTCCCATAAATGATTCATGGGCCGCGTTGTCCCGCTGTTGGTCCACAGCAAACACTTAATTCTCTTAGAGGTTTCCTTGGGCTAGGTAGACAACTCGTGAGATGTTTGCTGCCACTTCATTGTATACATACCTTAAAATACTTAGTTTGTGACCTTTTCTCGGTTTAATTATTCTAAATGATAGAAATATCAATGGAAAATGTATTTCACAAAGGTATTCGTTTTTTTAACCTAAAGATATGAAAAAAAAATTACGCTTAATGGTTTTTGACGAACTCCGTGGCAGTGGTTCTCAGGTGAGGTCCAAAGTGGCTGGATGTTGTGGTACCTTCGTTGTATCATACTGCCGTAATACGGGAAATTTCGCTAATTGAGAAGTGTGCTATACAATGTGAGAAAGGAAAAATGATCAGAAACTCAAGGCTCAAAATTGAATGCATTATTTAAATTTCTGGTTATATTAGCACTGAAATTGAACCGAACGAGGTCCTGTCAGACGCCTTAACTTCAACTCGGTCTGTATTCAATTAATTTCGTGAAATAAAACGAAAGCGTTTATATTAAATAAATAATATAAAATGATGTTTAGAAAAAACCCTAAATAAATAACGATCGTGGTCGTTCTACCCGTCACGGGAGATTTCATTTGGCGAAGGGAAAAAATACTTACTGTCTTTGAGGACACCGAACTCAAACGTTTGGAAAATTCGTCGTCCCCTGGGACACTTACGGTATGCGTAAGGAGGATTGGAGTTTTTATTACGTCTACGCAGGATTTCACTTTTTAGTTTGTCTAGTTTGCAACATAAGATCCTAGCGTCACTGATATTAATTTACATAATTGCCTAGTGTATATTATAGCGTAAAAATTTACAAAAACCTCCATTTTTCGGGCATCGGGGATATATAACGCAAAAGTAAAAATAGTATAGTTATATCATATTTAATTACAATTTATTTAGACCTTATTTTTGAATGCAAAACTTGTTGATAGTTATTAGACCTGAAAAATTGCAGTACATTTAAAGTTGAATGAAATTTACAAATAAAGAAAAACTTCTTCGATTTTTATAATTCCCATTTTAATGTATACACCATGTTCTATACTAATACATGTTCTAATCTATACTAATATTATATTCAGGTAAGGTATGTTACTTTTTTTGTAGGGGTAAATCTTCCGAAATACTAATCCCATCATGTAATTTTTTTCATCTACTGGAAGCTACATCAAACGCGGGTGACGGCAGGTTTCGAAATTGAGATTTTTTTTATCTCAAAAGTTTAGGTTTTTTATGTTTCACATGGCAAAAAGTCCCAATTTTATTAAACTACTATCAACTGATCATTAAAAAATCAAATCAGAAACGAAAACCTGTTTAACTGACGTTTAAGATGGTTTAAGTACGATTTGGTTGAGACGTGCTTAACTTTAAATTCTCAATACCGAAACCGGCTATAATTTAGGGCGGAGTCGCAAGAAAAAAGCTAGTTTAATAATAAATCTATACATTATATTATATATTTATTAAAGTTGAAACTAATTCATATCTATTATTTGAATAGAAGTCATAAGATCTCACAGATACACACAGAATGAGAATAGCCAATCACCAAGGGGGACGATGAAAGAGTATTATTACGTAGCGATTCATTACGTTCGAGATGTAGAGTGAATACCACCGAGTTGTTTGCTTTAGTCCCCTGGGGAGGCTGGCTGGTAGAAGTACCCTCCTATTGATTTAATATTTATGACACTTTATTTAATGTTGTACAGCGATTTCTAAGAAAAAGAATACTTTTGTGTCTACATTTGATATGTATCAATTTGAATAATTAGATGTTTTTACCTCTATGCTGATAATTACATAGATATATGATGTAACTTTTAAAAATCTATCAAATCAAACAAACAAGAAATCGAATATTTCCTCTATTAATATGAGTATTACTTTGTATAGTGGAAATTCGTTGAAATCTTTGTTAATATTATAAAAAGAGACAAGGAAAGAGCTGTTTTAGAAGTCTTTTTGTATGTGAGTGGAAGGTAATCTTCAGTTATAATAATCGATACCGATTTGTAAAATATTTTGAAAGCTCCTTACTACTTGTATATTTTTGATGAAGATATTCAGGAAACTATAATGTAACATAACATTAATTATTGTTTTTATAATTATGGACATTCTA